TAGCCCGCCGCAGACCCGGACCCGCGTGGTGCTCGGGGGACGTGACAGCGGCGCTCGTGGCCCGGGTAACTGCCTCCCGCCCCTGCCTCAGGATAGGAGCGGCCGCCAGGGGTCCCCTGCGCGCGTGTGCGTGCGCACGAGTGTGCGCGCGTGTCAGCGTGTGCACGTGAGCGCGCCCCTCGCGCCCTCGCATCAACCCCCAAACCGACTTGTGCCCGTCAACTGCATCTTCCCAGCCCGGTGTGGGGACACACCGGCCAAGTCCCCGCCGTGTGTGGTGTGCAGATGACAGCCGCTGGGCTTCCTTCCCCAAGCGGTCGCGGGCGGGCGGGCAGGAGGCAAAGTTTGTCGGAGAATCGGGGTGACTTTGCTCGGGGACCCGCATCTGCGCGAATGCGCGGTGCCGCGGAGCGCGTCTCGCAGCAGCTCCGGGCTGGGGACCGGCTGTCCCTCGCTCCCGGAACCCCTTCAGGGGTGTGTTCTGGAAAAGTGGTGACATGAGCTAGCGCTGGAGCGGCAGGAGGGAGCAGCTCGCACCCCTGCAGCCCAGGCGGGGAGGGCGCAGACCCCGCGGCGCTGCCCTGCGGCCGCGATGAGGGAACAGCCCTCGTTTGCCTGGCGCTGATACTCGAGGCTGTGGCGGTAGTGGAATGCGAAAGCCAGGACGGAATGGAAACAGGTTTGTCATGGCATCTTTTGGCATTCAGAAGGGAGAAATCGCTCGGGGGCGCGTCACCTACTTATTATGCCCCCTAGGATCCACTCCGTGGAGATTTTAGGAGAGATGGGTCCTTGCAGCTGGGGCTTTGTACCCACGGAACTGACTGTAATTTCCGCTTGATTACAGCTAAAACAGTCTTTAAGATGAAGTTTCCTGAGATGATTTAAAATAAACACAGATGGGAGGGGGCTGCAATGAGGCACTTTAAAAAAATAAAAGTGAGCATTTTCTTAAGGACAAATGGGATTTTTCAGTCTTGAGAGAGATTTGCAAGAGATGTATGTAATTTTAAAAATAAATATCAAATTGAGGTGGTTTTTTTTAACTGCTTAGAAAAAAAAAAAAGCCACAGTCCTGACGCTGAACAAGGCTTCCTTTCCTCCCCAATGGATGTGAGTGTATTTCTGACTTTAGAATATGTCCACCTTTCTTCCAAGGGCCAGAAGACCTCTACAGGATGCCTGAGGCAAATTCTCCCAGGCGAACTCCACAGAATGTTCCCTACCAGGACCTGCCTCACCTGGTCAACGCGGACGGACAGTACCTCTTTTGTAGGTACTGGAAGCCCAGTGGCACACCCAAGTAAGTCCTCTCCCTGCGCCTCCTCCTTCGTGGCACCTGCTTCTCTTCCTTGGTCATCATCGTGGGGGCCACCCTTTCTGTGACTTACCTCCCATGCCATTGACACCCCTTGGCACGGTGGTGTTCGTGAAGTTGAGAGCGGTACTTAACATGATTTTCTTAAAAACGAGGAATCAAGAGTTCTCTTCCACTACCACTAGGAGAGGATTCCACTGTCTTCAGAGATTCACGTGACTTTTTTTTTTTTGTACCAGAATTAATTTCCTGTTGGAAGCTTTCAATTTAAAAGCAAACCCAACAATTTTTTTTAAAAGGCCACTGAATTCATAAGAAAACTAAAATTATATGTGTGCGTATGTACCTTTTAACCTTTGCTGTCTATTCCTGCTTAAGTCTGAGTTTCTTAGATGACACCCAGCTAGCTGGGGTGAGAGGGGTCTGGTGTTCCCTTCTGGCTCCTTCCCAATCAGTCCCTCTGGCCCTTCCTCACTTTTCCCATCCAGGATCGGCCTTGTTGTTAGAAACAGGGGCTGGGACTGCGCACAGCCAGACAGCTGCTCTCTTGCCGCCCTCTTCCTCCTGGGTGAAGAGGGGAAAAGCCCTGCCTTGTTTGTGTGACTCGGGGAAGAGAGTGTTTGTGGCAACCTTGGCCTGGTGAAGTCACTGCTTCCTGTTCCCTGTTCCAGAGGAGGCTTACCTGTTCCACGGGCCTCTTGTTTCTTAGGGGTCCCGGTGGGTATGTGTTGTGCCTCCCACTGGGGCTCTGGGGTTACCTAAGTTGAGTGGCTTTCTCAACCAGGTATGTGCAATCCCGCTGGCGTCCTGTTAACAGTACAGAGGTAGAGACTTTTAATATCATAACTTCAGGGCGACTCCACCAGTTGTACCGTCTCCTCCTGTGTTTCCACAGTGGGCCACGGCGCACAGGCCGGTAAGTGTTCCTGCCTGTTAGTGATGTGCTGGAGAGGAGAGCGCACTGGGGTGTGCAGGTGTGCGGTGTGTGGCACTGCTGCCCTCATTAATCATTAATTCTGACTCTGACTTAACCGAGACCAGCACTGCACAGTCTTTTTGCTTACGTTCTTTTTACTCTCTAGCAAGTCCTTCTACAGTGAGCGGTTTATAATCACGACAGGAGGGGAGCAGGGAATGAAAGCCGTTGCTAATGTCCAGCCTGGGCCTTTGGAGGCTTTGTTGATGGGGGTAGTCACGGTGCCCCAGTTCACAGTCAGACACAGAGGGCCTGCAGTCTTCAGCGGGGCGGGGGGAAGGGAGATGGTGGACTGGGCCAGGAATGGCCAAGTTGGCTGCCCTCGCCTTGGCTGTGGGTGGTTTTCACAATCTCTCCACCGAAGCTGCTGCGCTGCGGGCAGCCCCTGGCTCACTCGCTTTTGCTCTAGTTAGAGACAGCAACCCAACGTCTTGGCTTCAACTGGAGCTAGCTCTTGGAAGTCAGCCTCTGCCTTGTGAGGGATCTGATGGGCATAGGAACAGGCCCGGACAGCGGCAGCTACTGCGCTCAGAGATTTGGAAGAAACGTGTGTCCAGGAAAAACCAAGTCCAAGGGCAGGAGGCGTGAACTAGAGAAAGCCACGGAACCATTAGTGTTTGTGGCTTGGCCCCTTCCCCTACTGTGAGCTCTGTGTTGTACAAGAGGATAGACAGGTCCGGGGTCCCCGCCATGGTTTCACAAGTAACCCAGGCAGTTGTCTCTGGAGCCCGCTGTCCGCCGGGCCTGCTGCCGCCTCTGAGAGAGAATTCAGTTGGTAAACTACCTTTGGGGTTGGGGTCTGCCGCTGATGGATCCAGGCTTGGAAACATTTCACAACCTGCTCAGACCGATTGGGACAAACACTGCCCTGGAAGGCTCCTTTGGAGAGAGAGGGAGAGATATCCTTGTAGTTGACAGGCCTTGGAGAGGTCTTAATGGTGTCGGAGAAAGTGTCAGGGCAGTCAGAGTGGTGGAATGGCAGTGGCTTAGGGCACGGGACTGTGCCAGCTGGTAGCCAGGCGTCTCAAGGTCTCGATCACAGGAGGAGCTCCTTGGCGAGCTTTTGGCCCTCCTGGTCTGAGAGACCCCAAAAATACCATTGCCCACATAGCACCGCCCGCTTGCCAGTAGGAAGAGAGGGTACCCGAGTCCACCCCAACCCCAGAGCCTTTCTCCTCCCTCATTGTAATCTGGGCCTCCCCTTGCATAACAAGCCTCCTCTCAGTCCGGAGGAGAGAGGGGAAGAAAGAATAGGAGAAGAACAAGGAGGCTGAATCTCCATGCCTGTCCCACTGGCCACATGGTGTGCGCCTGTGTCTTGGTTACTTTGAACCTCAGGTGACTGCCCCTGGAGCCCTGGGCCTGTCTCCCACAGGTGCCCGTCTCCCACAGGTGCCCAGGCAACAGTTACAGGTGTCTGCTGGCCACAAGCTGGCAAACCGGCCCAACCTGCTTCTGGACGCTGGAGCAAGGCAGAGGAGAGCTAGCTGTTCTTGGGGTAGTTGTTACAGCGGACGGTGATTATATCTTTACAAATGGTACACTCCCCAGAACCTGAGGGAGGAGAGAGCATTCTCGGGATAGTTGTTGCAGGGTGAACGTGCAGACACGCTGTTTTTTAATACGGTAGTCTGGAATCTTGGGTTCAGTTAATCATTACTCCCTTTGGCCACATCCAGGCAGGCCTAACTCATCATAACAGATGTAGTTACAGCCATGAAAATACGTGTTACTGACCGTGGATCTCATTTCTGCGGAGGACCTAGTAAGGCTCAGAGATGGGACTAGGCCCTGTCCATGCCTGATCTCTGCAATGTCCACACCAATCCGAAGGGAAACAGTGTGGTTGCTGCTCTGGCTGCTTTCCCAGGAGGGAGCGGAGATACAAGGTTATAGAGCGGCCAGCAGGCCGTGGAGAGGGTGCAGTCAATAAAGCGCTTGCTGTGCAAGCGTGAGTGAAGACCTGGGTTCCAGGCCCAGGACCCATGTGAAAAACTGGGAGCAATGCAGTGAGTGGCCAGTGCCCCTGTATTCCTAGTGCTGGGAGACGGAGACAGGCAAACCAGCCCCACCCTGTTCACTGAACCTGAGTCCCAGTGAGAGACGGTGTCTCAAAAGCGAAGATGGACAGCTTCTGAAGTTGGCCTCTGCCCTCTACACATATGTGCACATACACCCACATTTACACACACACACACACACACACACACACACACACACACACACACACACACCCCGTGTGGTGAACGCCCCTGCTCTTCAGACCTTGTCCGTTACTGAACACACCACCAGTCATGCCCGACGTTGTCCTTCCAGGTAGTGTTTTCCCAATTCATTCTTACAGTTTAGGATAACGATCACTTTATAGGGCGAAAAGAAAAGGGAAAGTAATTCACCACCACTATTTACACGTCGAAAGTGGCGTGCTGATTGGAGCTCATGCGTCTGCTGTGGCGAAAGAGCAGAAAAGAGCACTCCTACTGATTGTCCCAGTGGCAAGCTGCTTCGCTCCGACTCCATACGCTGGCAACCACGGGTTCTTTGGCAAGCTCCCTCTGATGGGCCGGGTCACAGACGCTGACTGGCTTGTGGATGGGGTCAGGAGGCTGTGAGTTCTCCCAAACTGGGCATCCGTGTTTGCTCTGGGCCCCGGGGCTACCTTTTTGTTCTCTCACCCAGTGGCCCTCAGTCCCGACAGAGTGCACCTTCGAATCAGGAGTGAGAGTCCCATCGCTGTTCTCCAGAAGAGTGAGCACAGCACACAGGGTGGTGGTTCTGTTGTTGTGAGAACAATGCCGATTTGGTGATGGAGACGCCCCTAAAATGTTCATCATCTGCTTCTTGTGACCGAGGCTGGAGTGTACTCTGTAATTACAGGATTACCCAGCTCTTCCCCGACCTGCTGGCTCCAGGCAGGAGTGCCTCTCTTCATCTGCCTGGAGGAGATGCTAAGTGGATAAGGTTGAGTCAGACCCTCTTCTCCAGCCTAATGGTTTCCCCCTCGTGTTCCATGCACTTGGTCTCTAAGTTTTCTGTGGCCACTGTGACCCTAATTGAGAGGGCCTCCACGGGTGACCACTCTAGCCCCAGATGTCCCGAGGCGCACAGGCCAGTCCGTCTGGCTGGAAAGCCAAGCCTCGGGGTTTTGGCAAGTGCTGAGCCTTCCCATTGTTATCAGTATTTCTAGATGCCCACCACACTCAGACTCCAGAACCCAAGCCTTCCAGTGTCCTTGCTAGACACGCCCGCCCCCACCCAGGGTGCTTCTCAGGGACTCAGACAGTGCGCTATCTGCACCATGCTCAAGTCTTTTCCTTGTTGCTGTGGAGTGTAGGGTGGGGCTGTGGGGGGCGGGGCCTGGGTGATGGACTGACAAGGGGGCGGTGTTTGCTCACTGCCTGTGTTCGCACACCACGCTCCTTGGTTGGCTCTGTGGGCAGCTGGAGCTCGATTGCTGGCTGTTCTTCCCCGGCTCCCCAGAGTGGAGCTCTCCTGAGGGACCTCTGTGCCCCCTTTCCCGGACCACTTTGGTTCCTCCTCTCTCTGCCTCCCCTCTCTGGGATGCTGCCAGTGCCAACCTGAAACATGTCCTCCCACCCATGCAAATGTATCTGGGGAAGAAGCCACTTGCTGGAAGCTTATTCAGATGTCACAGTCCTTCCGCCCGCCCGCCCGCCCCATAACACCCTCCTCACACCGGGTATGTGGCTATCAAGGATAAGGGTCCCTCCCAGCCATCTGGAGCTAGATGGGGAGATCCGCCACGTCTGCCTTGTAGAAATTTTGTTCTCAGGAGTCGGCCTCCTCCTCTCCCTTTGGGCTTTCCAAGGAGGATGTGGGCCAGGTCTTTACCCCTTTCTTGCCTCCGTGTTTGCTTGTTCTGTGTTCATGGCGCCTGCCTCCAGACTGTGTCTCAATGTCTCCCTGCACGCCTCTGAACTTGTGCCCCCTGGGGCTAGGCACCCCCCCACTCCACCCTCCTTACTTAGCTGACACCTACCGGGGGGTC